TTTTTATAATTTTATTGAGAAGGAAGTAGCAATGAGATAGTTTCAAAACAGATTAGTAGTACAGTCACGATAATTAATACATTGCATATTGTTGTCTTTGTAGTAGTTATTCATACTACAAGATGCAGCATGATATCCTCTCTAAACACTATTAGTTCAAAACCTTCTTCTCATTGAACTAAGAGAAAGTAGCTGTATATTTATGCTATTTTTGTATATATAGATATATATTTCTTCCACTACAAAATGGTCCATTTATATCCACTTTTTTGTTGACTTTTATCAGATCTGTGTATTCCATTGCCATTCATATATTGTAGGTGCATGAATTCAGCAGAGTGATCCAATACAGTCCAGTATTCTATAATAGTAGTTGGTTATCCACAAGACTAGCAGTGTCAGAAGTTGTTGAATTGAGCCTTTTATAGCTCAGCAGCATATTAATATGGCTTTAATTTTATAACTCGATTTTTTACTTTTCTGCTGGATGGTTAAGGCCAAGATAAAACAAGACCCATATAACAAAAAATGTAACTTGTTTATCTGACAAGTCAGTCAAATCCCCTCAAGACTTACCCTGAAACCCTGTAGAGCAGTTTGTAGATCTTTTGTCAGTGTCAGCCATGTGGGTGAGTCACGGCCATTGTTTGACCATTTTGCTCTCTGAGAAAGCCTGAGAAAATGTGTTCTCTCCATGTGACTCTCCTTAGGCACACTCTACATCAAGAATCACTTTCCTCTGTGGCCTCATAATCTCCTTGATCAGAAACTTTGGGATACCACTGAGTTACCGGATGTTACAGTACAAGTTCTCTTATGTCCTGAATCTTCACTTCTTTTATGTCCTTGCAGTCCTTCTTTTTCTCTAATATTTGATCTGCAAATGTAAGTTATTAACCTTCCAGAAGAGAAGACTAATGATATTATTATCCTATAATTTAGGCAGTTGAGCTTCACCTCACTATCTGTCTGAATATAAAACGTCTTAGACATAACATGGAACAGATATTTTCCATCAGATGTTGACATACAACATTAGTTTTTCTTGCAAATAATTTTTATCTCTATTTGACATTGGACAACTATATAATTTACTTGAGTCTTTTATTAAATAGGCACTCGAATTGTTATTGCTTCCTATCATGAATGCATATGTTGAAAAATGCCTGTCTTTCTAATGAGCCTATTTATATGCAGAATAAGTTTCTAAGCATAAGAAACACTGGACTAGAAAACATGTTGAGTTATAAAAATCTTGTTCTGGAAGGTCACACAACAGAATATTTTACATCCACATACACTCATCAACACTGGGTTGCAAAATTATCATAAATATTTGTACAATGAATTAAACAGATTTCACTGATATATATAATATATATATATTATATATAATCATGATTTATAAAATAGAGAATTTTAGATAATTTTGATAAGTATATTAATTTCCCTTATTTGTGCAATAAGTAAAACTTTTGATTTATTCAAAACCATAATAGCTTTACTTGTTGCAATTATTTTCCAGAGTATCCCAGGTTTTTCTGCATTTGAATGGATCCTATGCCTCCTGTTTCTTACATCACTGTGTTTTCACTTAAAATGTCATTCAATACCGAAAAATCAGATATAGTTTTTAAAAAGATCTATGTATTATCTTAAATCTTTAAAGTATGATTTTTCTCTTTTATTTTAGGTGATTGAAAGCTGATTCATTTTGAAAAAGGCTTATGTAGTTCTTAAAACTATTTTAAGAATTATGCACATTATCTTAACTATTGTTGAAAAAACTACATAAGCCTTTTTCAAAATGAATCAGCTT